CTGGATCCTAATTGGTTTTATATCAGTTTCCTTGGTTACTGCATGCCCTCTTTCTTATCAATTTTTAAGCGAATACGTGCTGTTGATTTTAGGTCGTCCGGATTAAGATCAGACCACACCCTTCACTGATTAATTTTTTAGAATATGGCAGGAAATGAAACAGGATATTCTACGGATCTCGGCCGTCAGATGCAGCCCCCTTCCTTTGGGGATAGGGCATAGCATGCGAGACCACTAGGTGGCTTCTTTTTTTATGACCCAGTTATACACAAACACTCTGACGGTGAGTAAGAATCCACGTACGCGCGCGCGCGCGCACTCTGACGGTGAGTAAGAATCCACGTACACGTTATAGAGATGGGAATAGAGTAGCCTTGGGGCGTGAATTTAAGGTGAGGATTGACCCAATTGAAAAGTGGGTCCTTTTTCGAGATTATGATCATGAAATTGCTGGCTTTGGAAACAAAACTTGGGAGGTCTGAGGTTTAGGCAAGAGTACGAGAAGCGGCAGCTCATGCATGACGGGAAAAAAAGTTTTAGAAAAGTGGGCGCACGATTCTTAAAATTTTCTTAATCTCTCTTTTCTCAGTCCCAGTTCGCTACTTGGTATAACAGCGTGTTTTGCAGTTTAGTTAAAATTTTTTGTATAAAATTTAATTTTTTATTCGAAATTAATTATTTTTTTAGTGTTTTTTATGTGTTAAAATCAAAAATAAATTTTTTAAAAATATATATATATATATATATATATTAATATATTTCTAAAAAAATTTAATAACGCTACCTTCATCACACCCATAAATGAACCCTGAAACTAGATTTATAGTTGACAATTTGCCACATCCCAGGTATTGGTTCAATTCAAAACTTGAGTTGCTGGTTTGATTAGTAATTTAAAAAATATTATTTAAAAATATATAATAAAAAATAAACAAATAATAAAATAATAACAAAAAAAGTTAATAGAACCTGATATCAACCAACTCGGATTATAAAACAACCCATTAATAAATGATAAATTAAAAAACTATAAAATAACTATATTAAAATGAGTTGACTCGCAAACTTTATAGTCATAGATGTAGGATTGAGAAAATATCACTGGAAAAAAATATATAAAGAAAAGCTTGAACATCAATTCTTAATAAATTAAATGAGAACATGGTCGCTTCATGGAAAGAAAAAATGAGAAGGGAAAAAATAAAACTCAACGTCTAGCAAATAAAAATATTGAATGATGAAAATTAAAAAAAATAAAAAAATAAAAAACTTTATCCGAGTCCAATATGCAAAATCTTCAACCTAAATATGATAACAGGGTAAATACATTGAAAAATAAATCAAATAATACCATGAATCTTAAATTAATGTTGAACAATAAAATAAAAAATAATAGAAAAAATATAAGTCAACCTGAATAAATCCACAGATCCCGTAGCCACGAAAAATTGTGATATATTCGAATTGAACTTAATCCCAATCAATTTAATCTTGAAATATAAAATTATATAGAATAAATATTGATTTAGAAGAATAAAAAAAGATAATAGTATAAAAAAAAGTAAGGATAAAACTTGATAGAAAAAAAACACGTGGAAAATAAAATTGTAAAAACAATATGACTAGGATGGCCCAAAAGAAAGGAAATAAAAAAATACGAAGTATAATTTTCAACACATAAAATGTTAAGGAGATAAATTAAAATAATTTAATTTTTAAAAATATCCTAGATAAATTAAATATTAAGAAATAAAATTAAAATTATTTAATTTAAAAAAAATCCAAAAACAAAAATCAACTGACCTAAAAATAAAAGACAACTCACATTAACCCACGAAACCTGTAACTTCAGTGATAAACTTGAGACCAATCATATAACAAGGTAAATTATTAAAAAAAAAATAAAGAAAATTTCTAAAAGAATATCAAAAGTAACAAAAATAGTTTTTTTTTAAGTCAACCCGATCAAATATTTTTAGCTCGGTCTAATCTCTAGAGCTTACAACCTATAAAATCATTGAATCGGGTTTAATCAACAAGTCTGATTACTTGTCAAGTTAAAAAAAACTTTTCAAATAAAAAAGATAGCAAAAAAAAAAATTAAGATCAAATATGAAAGAAGGAAAAAACCCATCAAGGATAAAATTGTTAAAAAAAATATTCTAGTAAATTTTATAAAACAAAACAAATAGCAATCATGATAATAAAAATTACATTTGAAAAATAAAAAAAAAATATAATTAAAAAATAGTATAATTTCATTGATTAGTAAAAATACAAAACAGTGGTATAAAAATGAGGAATAAGCATGAAAGATTAAAAAATAATAAAAGGATGAAATTAAAAATATTTGTAATTTTATTACTCATTCAAAATAAAAAATAATAATCAAAAGGCTAGGGACCAAATGCAAAGGGAAACTAAACTGCAAGGGCTAGTCTAAATTTATGAAATTCAAGGGTGTGGAGAGAAAAAAAAAAAAAACTACCACAAATTCTAAACCCAATGTGTATCAAGGACATGCATTGTCCCATTACATCGGGTTACCAAGATCTTTTAAAAACTATTTTGAAAAGCGAGTTTTGGTGATTGGTGGAACTCTCATCAAGAAATGTTTACAGGCTGACATGTGCTATATATGTACCATCAGTTATTTTTTTTTTTAAATATATTTAAAGAATATAATTTATAGCAATTCCTTTATGTACCATTTACATGCATAAAAAAAATCAATATGAAATGATAAAAAAAAATTTAAGCGAGAACTTTGTTAATTTTGTCTATAAAAACATAAAAATAATTATATTATTATAAATAATTAAAAATATAAAAATATCATTGAGCAGTGTACATTAAATTATTTCATCGGGGTTAAATTAATAATTTAAATATAAAAAAGAAAAATCATAAATTTAACTTTATATAAATTAAAAAAAAAACAATGACGAAAATCACACCTTACCTTACCTCAATGCACAACCCAAAATTTTTTTTCAAGGATAATCTTATAATTATACTATTATAATAAGTAGTAATGTAACTCTCGCCGAATAAAAACTTTTCTGAGAGATTTTTTTAAAATTTAATTTAATGTTTGGTCCGAATTTCTCTCCACCACTTTTTGTTGCCAAATTCCCACGTTTTTATATTGCCAAATTCCAATATAAAATAACACAGAAGCATTGATCCAGAGTGTTTTCTTAATTTCGTTTTAAAGACATTAAAGTAAATATATCATTCTAAAAAATAAAAATACAAAAATGTCCCTGGATAATGGACATTATATTATTTTATTTTAGTATTAAATTAATAATTTTACAGTGAAAAAATAAAATCACAAATTTAACCCCATGTAATTTAGAAAAGATAATTTTATCATGATAAATAGAGCACATAACCCCAATAAATGAATAATAATTCGAGTCCTTGTGAATTGTAATTTTGACAGGAGATTTACTTTGTGAATTAAATGAATAGTAAAATCACGAATTTTTCACCACCGATTTTTTCTCTCCAAATTCCCACGTTAAATCATTCAAGATAACCGGATAAGGACACTGGGTGCAATGCTGACGAATGCTGACAAGGCGATTGTGCACTTGGTTCTCCTATCGTGAAAGAGATAAAAATCGTAACAAGAAGAAGTAGAACTGTTCATGGGAGAGGCTACCTGACGGGCTGAAATGGGCCCGAAAAATATTGGAGAGGCCTGGGTTGTAATATTCCTGACTCCTCAATATCTAACCTTATTTTAATCTCTAGCCTTGTTTGTTTCCTAAATGTAATTTTTATGAAATTATTTTTTAAGTTTTTCTATATTTATTTATTATTATTAAAAAATATTATTTAGTCAACAAAAAATATTTTTTGATTAATAAAATATATTTACCAGTCAGAGAAAAATTTAGCTTGGTTTTCAATAAAATATTTTTCTTTTCAGCTGTGTTTGTTTTTTAAAAAATGGTTTTCAGGAAATCACTTTTCAAACTTTCTTATATTTTTTTATTTTTAGAAAAGTTGGTCAATGAAAAACACTTTCAATTGAAGAAAAATTTAGCTTGGTTTTCAGGAAAGTATTTTTCTGAAAAATTTGGGCGGAAAACACTTTCCGAAAGTTGTGAAAAATTTAGAAATATCATTATTTACTGATTATATCAAATTTGATTCTTAAACTTTTGATTGCTATATATATTTTGTTTTGAATATCTGTTTTTCAATTTTATTTTTTTAAAATTAATTTTTATATTAATTTTGGTTATCATTTTTATAATTGTTATTTGTTTTTCTCCTATTATTTTTTTATTTAAAATTTTTATCTATCAAATGTGGTCCTCATTCTTTTGTTTGTTACTTGTTTTATCTAAAATACTTTATGAAATGTTAATTATTTTTTATTTTTTAGATATGATCTTTATTATTTTGATTATTATTTATTTTATTTGCGATAATTTATGAAATTATATTTTTTTCAATTCTCATTCAACTTTTTAATTTGTAAGATTTATTTCTTATAATTTTAATAATTTTTAGAAAAATAAAATATTAATAAATTATTTTTCAGTTCATTTTCCATAACATAACCAAATACTGAAAAATATTTTTTTATTTATTTTCTATAATACTATTAAATATCGAAAAACAATTCACTTTCCAAAAAATTACTTTCTCTAAAATTTATTTCTAAAAAAACAATTTTTTTTATAAACAAACAAACACTAAATAATTTTTATAATATGAAAGAGAGAAGTCATGGAATTAATACTTATGAGTTTCTACTTTCTATGTATTCCCTTGCCAAAAGAACACCCTTGAAGAAATAAAAGAAAAAAGAAACTTGGTGACCCAGGAGGACAAATTAAACACTGAATTCTAACGCCGCCGAAACCAATCAAGCAAGGCCCAGGCCTTATGTAAGAAGACAAATGCAAAAACTTTTTTTTTTTTTTAATCAGGACAGGACTGGAGGAATTAAAATTCCAGGCCCACCTCCTTGAACTCCTGGAGCCAGTTTGCTTATGCATTATAAAATACAGCAAATTTGGTGCCAGTACCTGAAATTCAGTCCTATCGTCTCTTATTTTAGGGTTTTTAAGAACAGCAAAAAACAATCCACTAGCAGCGGTACTCTGTATAACATTGATAATCTCGGGTTGGTTGTCGCCATCTTCTTCTTTAACCACTGGTCGTCTCTTTCATTGTTTGCTTTATAATAGGTTTGTCTGCCTTTTGATCGCAGATTTTGTTATGTTTTAATTAGTGGTCTAAATAAATATGTATTCTTCGAGAGGCAGTAATGCTTATGGCCAGCAATCTTATGGTGCCCAATCTGGCTACACACAAAATGTAAGCCTCTTTTTTTTTTTTTCCTTTTCTTTTTCGTGTTGTTCACTGTAAATTAAAACATTTGCTGCTTTTCTTGTAATTAGGTCATTTTTTTCTTTCTTTGTAACGTATTTCAATGTCGATGACATGTGAATGACCGTGAAAATTGCTGTTTTTGGGATATTTCTTTTAGTTTATGGTATTTTTTATTAGTTCAATAGATACCCATGTGTTTTGGTATAATTGTTTTCCTGTGAGAGTAGTTCTGGAGTAAAGGTCTCATTTTTAATATGAAAATTTCAGTTTTTTTTAATTATTATTACTGGGAACTGCATATTTTAGGAGTTTTGTAATTTGGTCGTGTTGTTTTTTTTTACCGCATAAAAATTGCAGCTTTTCTTGTAATTCGATCAATTACTTTTAATGTGTAATACTTTTTCTTGATTCGGGATACGCCTGTGAATTGAAGAAATGGTAATCTTGTGAACTGGTTGTGGATTCAAGCTCTCATTTTTATTTTTCAATTTGGTTAGCTGGGAACGGCATATTCTGGGAGCTCTGCTGGGGGGCATGACGGGGGCTCTCAACATTCACTGGCTTCTAGGCATTCATTGATTATGGGTGGTCCTCAGGAAGCTGATGTTGGTGGATACAGAGGGCATGCTTCGGCCACAGCACATTATGGGAGCCAATATGGGGCTGCCTATGGCTCAACTGCCATGAGTGGTGCTCAACAGGTATGTTTTTCTTTAATCATATTGATGGTTATTTCCAAACTATTCATGCTTATTTATGAATCATTTTATATAATTGAAGGAAATCTGTAGTGGCCTTTGAAATCATTTTTGAAGATTCTTCTATAACTCGACATGTCCTTGATGTTTTGTGTTAAGTTTTTTCATGAGCCTTCTTTGCATGTTTTGTAATAATTAATAGGTACCATGGATTGAATTTATTGTTAATTTGTGTATTAAGATAAAATCATAACATAATGTGTGCTATTCACTTGTTGCTACAGTATTCTTAGGATCTGAGATGACGCCACAAGTTAATGTAGGAAATATTTTGATACTCTTATGTTTGCGGTCCTTGGATCTAAAACTAACTTCATCTAAATATTTAGCTTCCTTTTCATTTGTGCTCCTAAATAGTTTAGTTGCAAGTTTTGTCTGCTGTGTTGTAATTCCACTGAGTTGTCAAATGTTTTCTTTGACTATCTGCTGTCCTAAGCATCTAAGAATTCTTTTGGAATTTGTTCATGTAGGCTCCCACATTGAGTGCCAAAGGGAGTGGAGGGTTGTCTTTGGATAGTCGTGGCACCTATCCATCAACTCTGCCTGATTCTCCTAAATTTTCATCAGCTGACTACATCTCATCATCAAGTCATGGATATGGACACAAAAGCGATCAATTGTTTGCAGAAAAAATACCTGATTATCCAACAATTGACAGACGACCATATGGTGAACGACAGGGTACATATATGGGGAGGGATATGCAAGGTGATGCAGCTACACGATATGTTGATTCTGTTGGTTTTGGTCATCAACATCAGGTTTTGATTTTTTATCTTATTATTGAAATTGAATTTTTCTCATTAATTTCCTTCTGTTTTCTTGATTATTTGTTTTCTTTTAAATTTCTGGAACAAAGCATGTCTCAGTATATTTTATTGCTATTTAGATAACAAATTTTCTACTTTTTCTGTGGTCTAATTTAACAGCCTGAGATTTATGAACGTATTGATCAAGCTTCAATTCTTAGACAAGAACAGTCATTGAAACCCCAGTCATTGCAATCCGCCTCTCTTGATGGAGGTGCCAGGTATTTTTCATGGATATGTAATGTGATCAAATTGGAGCTTGATATGCATGTAGCATGTAGTGATTGTCATTTAATAGTCATATCCATTTTTGCTCTCAATCAACAGGCAAGTTCATCCTTGCCTTTACCACACTAGACTTCTTAATCATGGTGATTGTCTGTGCTCTGCTAAGTTAGTTGGTATGTACCTGGTATTACACTGAGTAGCAAAACATTTCTGGCAGACAAATTGACTATCTTGCAGCAAGAGGTGCTGCTAGTCGTCATACCACCCAGGATCTCATGTCTTTTGGAGGAAGAATAGATGCCGATCCTCGCAATTCCTCATTACTTAGTTCTTCTACGTACAATGGGCAACATGCTCCCTCGATATTGGGAGCCGCTCCTAGGAGAAGTGTTGAAGATCTATTGTATCCTCAAAGCTCATCAAATCCCGGATATGGAGTGAGTTTGCCTCCTGGAAGGGACTATGGCACTGGAAAAGGGCTCCATGGAACATCTCTTGAATCTGATTATCTTGGTTCTCATCCAAGGATTAATGAGCGCATGGATGACAGAGCTAGCTATCTTCGAGAATTTGAGCTAAGAGAGGAGGAGCGCCGTCGAGAACTTCTGCGTGAGAGGGAGAAGGATAGAGAAAAGGAACGAGAACGGGAACGGGAACGTGAACGTGAACGCGAACGGGAACGAGAAAGAAAGCGGGAAAGGGAGCGCATTTTGGAACGGCGTGAAAAGGAGAGGGAGAGGGAGAGGGAGAGGGAGAGGGAGAGGGAGAGGGAGAGGGAGAGGGAGAGGGAGAGGGAGAGGGAGAGGGAGAGGGAGAGGGAGAGGGAGAGGGAGAGGGAGAGGGAGAGGGAGCGAGAGCGGAAACGTGGACTTGAAATTAGGCGGGAGCGAACTCCACCAAGAGCTTCAATGGATCGACGTGGTTCCTCTTTGCTGAAAGAGGGGAGATCTTTACGACGTGATTCTCCAAGCCATGAAGCATCACATAGGTGGATCTTGATGTTTCATTTGCGTCCTACACTTGTTCTGAATATGTAGCTGCTTGTACATCTTGCAACCTTTGTAACTAACTTACTGTTCTGTTATGCTGAAGGCGTCATTCACCTGTTAAAGAAAAAAGAAGAGATTATGTCTGCAAGGTAAAGAAAACAGGACAAGAGATTATCTTTCAATGCTGATAAAAAAAAAAATCTCCTCTTCAAGAAACTATTCTTTCCCCTTGGTATGTTTAATAACATCCTGTCTTGATTCTTCCTATTTTTGCCTCTATTTGGGCTTTTATATCGCTTGGTAAGGTAGGTCTTCTGTTCTATGCTGAACTGTTCACTTCCGGTGACTTCCTCAACCTTACATTTCCTTCTCTTTTTTCTACCATTTGGTCATTCTCTTTCCAGACTGCTCTACTGTGGACTTTTGGCTCATAGCCTGACTGTTTGGTTCCCAGGATTCCTTGTTTGCCTCCATTTTTGTCTAAATTCTTCTTTGCCTCTTGTGGCTCCTACCCTTATTGGGGCATCTTCTAAGAGTTTGAACCCGCTTCTCTTCATTTGTTACATTGGGCTAAACACTTACATCATTCAGAGCACCGTTGCTAATTTCTATTAAGAGTTTCTAGGCTTTCTCTGAAATTCATTAGTTGAATATAGATATTTCTCATGTGATAACTTGCTTAGGGTGGGCAGTTGTCTGGTATTGCAGATCTGCTGTTGAAATTGTTGAATTTATTCTGTCAGGAAGAGAGGAATCTTACAGCTATTGACTTATATGTTATGGTGGTTTATTCTATTTTGTTACCATGGTCTGTGCAATCTGAAGTATTTATGTATTTCCTTTATATTTGGACTTTATGCTGTCTACTTGCAGGTTGGCACATTCAGTTTGGTGGATATAGAGAGGGATTTTCTATCAATTGATAAGAGATATCCCAAACTTTTTGCTTCTCCAGAATTTTCTAAGGTTTTGATATCTAATTTTGTTTCAGTTTTCAATTTCTTATAGTTATCCTTTTGTCTTACCTTGATATCCTTTTTATTTTAGGTCATTGTGAATTGGCCAAAGGGAAACCTGAAACTTTCTATCCATACCCCTGTCAGGTACCTTACCCTCAAGACAATAGATTTCATGTTTTCTATTTATTCTATTCTGGGATATCCACAATAGTTTTAGTCTTGTTTGTTTAGTTTTTTCAATTATACTTGCTGCCATAATGATAGTATAATTTATCATGATTGTGAAACCATTTACATATTTTTGTTGGATTTGAAAGTTCTCTTTCACAAACCATAGGGATGAGTGATGACTGGTATCATACTTTATGAGCAGAGCAAGTGGAAAGATTGGAATGAACTCACATTGCTGAATTTTTTGTCGAGAACAGTTTTGAGCATGATTTTGTTGAGGATAGCAGTGAAGCAGAAAAAAAGGATCTGTCCACGACGTTCTTGTCTCAAAAATTTGGAAAACCAGAGATTGGAAGCACTGTTTGGAATGCAAAGGTAGGTATTTTCTCCAAGTAGTACTTAACTGATGATAATTACATGGAAATGAAATTTCAAAATGATGCTGCTGGAAACAGATTATTATGCTCTTGATTGTAATTGTGCGCTTTACTGGTCATATCAGTAACAGCTGATTATGGAGGCTGCTTATTGGATATTTAAATTTCTTTACGTGAGCAAGTTTGATCCTGTATAAATTGTTTATTTCTGTATTTTCTTTGCATCAATGTTTCTTCTGGCTGAGAAAAAAAATTAAAATTTCATTTATGGAAGAATTGAATGTTAATTAGTTCTGCTAAAATCACAACCCATTCAGACAGTTGAATGCTTTTGATTAACGTTGCATTGTCTAGAAGAAAATTTAATTATGGCATTCCAATCATGGAAGTGTATATTTTGACCCCTGTGCTCTGAGGGCTGTATTGCCAAATTGTTTGAAGTGCTTCACAGCTTGTTACTTCCCTTATAATCTGTAATCTCGTGACTGCTTGATCCTTGAGCAAAATACCTCTTTCTATGCACACTGTATATAATCATCCCAAAGCTGTTTCTTTAATTATTTTTGGATCTCTACTTCTATATAGCATTACTTATTGAAATTGTTATAATTGATACAGGCTATATTCTTTCCCATAAAATGAATTAATATTAAGGAAAAGCAGAACGGAAAACAGCATGCAGAATAAGACATACTTGGAACTAGAACAGAAATAGCTATCCAATCTGTCAAAAAATCAGTCAGAGACACTCCCTCAAAATCTCTCGTGGAAGATCATCACAAGACACCTGAATACACCACTCCATCTCAATCTACTTGATTAGATGAACTATCCACATGATTACTTGATTAGATGAACTATCTACTTGATTAGATGAACTATATCAGCTGGAATGTTTAATGCTGTCTCATCCAAATACACCCAATCCATCTGAACATCTACCTAGTCATGATTTTAATATTTTCTGTACATGTACTTTTTGGGTTTTTAATCTCATGATCATTGTTGCATTCTGTTAGTTTTTTCACCTTTTTACCTTGTCTTTTAATCTTAACACCTTTGTTATCATTCTTGATTTGTAAGGTGAACTTGATGACATTTATCTGCTTGGTAACGAATGATTGTCTTCCATGTTCAGATAATTTTGTTGAGTGGACTTAGCAAGAATGCTCTGGAGGAGCTCTCATCTGAGAAAAGATGTGATGATCGTGTACCCCATATTTGCAATATTCTTAGGTTTGCTGTCCTCAAAAGGGACCGTTCTTTTATGGCTGTTGGTGGACCATGGGATTCTGCTGATGGCGGTGATCCATCAGTTGATGATTCTGTTTTAATTCAAACAGCCCTTAGGTTTGTGTTGGCTACTCTGTATTGAATTGGTATAGTAGAACATCTGTTCCTTTTGCTGTACTGAAGCGATTTTTACTTTGTAGACATGCAAAGGATCTAACTCAGCTTGATTTGCACAACTGCCATAATTGGAACCGTTTTCTTGAGGTAATATTTTGCTCTTCTTGATTATAATGTGAACCACAATCTTTTCAGTTTTTGTTTGCGAGATTTCATGATCAAGCCTTTAAGAAAATAAGTTGCTGTAGTCTGAATGATATTTGAATGAGTTGAGAAATACTCGTGTGAAGTGGGGTTTTTATTGGTTGAAATTGGATTATTAAAGTTTAGTTTGGGGGTTGTCCACTGTTCAGTTAAGAGTAGCTGATGCGTTGCACAAGTAGTTTAAAGTTAAAGATAGGAGAGAGAGAGAGTAGAGGAGCAATGGTGTATATTTCAAATCACACAAATTAAACAAAATATAAAATTCCCATAATGTAAACTTTAAACGCCGATAGGAGAGAGAGAGAGAGTAGAGGAGCAATGGTGTATATTTCAAATCACACAAATTAAACAAAATATAAAATTCCCATAATGTAAACTTTAAACGTTTGTGGCTGTTGCATCAATCTTACAAGCAATCAGACCGTCTTTAATCTATTAGGATGTAGGATTACAAATTTGGAATCTAATTAATTAGTAATCTTGGGATAATATAAAGGACCACCAAGCAGAGGCCTAATCATTTAAAAACCCACCACCAGATAAAATGGATCCTTACTAAGGCCTATGCAAGAAAACAGAAAATTATAAAGATATCCTTTACACAGTGAAGAAAAAAATAAATAATAAGAGTGGCCGCTAATAAAATCGTACAAGACTAAGAATGAGTTAGCAGCCTAATTTACGTTTCCACTTAAGCAAACAATGTGCCTGTGCCCACAAAATGTTTGTGTGATTTTAGGTTGGTATTGTTATATCTTGTGTGCATGCAAATTGCATATGTACTTTTAAAAGCCATTTATTTCTATTTGTACTTGTATTGATTGAACACCAAGTGTAATTGTCAATTTAATGCGGAATGGATACTTTCCCATTTATATATTTATTTTATTCTTGTAACGTGTTTGTGAGATATTGCTGTGAAAATTAGATTTTCCTCGTGGACAGTTTTCATTTCTATGGGTTATGAGATCTTTATGTCCTTTTTTCTTGCATGTTTCTCGAAGTCAGATAGCTAATTTTTGAACTCCTGTTGGCATTTGCAGATACATTATGATAGATTTGGCATTGATGGGTTCTTTAGCCACAGAGAGGTCACTGTTCTGTTTGTTCCAGATTTATCTGAATGTCTTCCTTCATTAGATGCATGGCGAGAGCAATGGCTTGCACACAAGAAGGCTGTTGCTGATAGAGAACATCAGCTTTCTTTAAAGAAAGAGGTTTGTTTATGTCTGCAATTTCTTGCTATATAACTTATGTTTTCTTTTCTTCTTTCTGGTGATTGGTTAAATAAGCTTACTTACTGGGCTTGCTGCAAATGGCTTTCATTTCCCTGAAATATTTGGCAAAATTACTGGAGCATTGTTATGTTTGAGCTAATTTGACGTGTCTCTTTTTCTCAGAGGGCTAGAAAGGAAGGGGAAAAAGGTAAATAGACTGCAATTTCTTGCACTTCATGACACCATCTCTTTTGCTATATCATTAAAATTGATATCATCATCCAGATAAAGGAACAGATTCTGCGAGAGATTCTAAGAAGTCAGCTCAAAAGGAAAATATCAAAGAGTCTGCCTCTTCTGTCATCAACAAGGATAAAGATGGAAATTACATAAAAGGTAAAACAACTGAATGCAGGAGTGGTGAAAATGATAAGAAAGCTGAGAAAAAAGATGAACCTGAAACAGCTGACGAAGGCAAGAATATCGACAAGAAGGACCAGGGGGGAGCTGCTGGTTTGCAGACAGCGAAGTCTGGAAAGAAGATCATACGGAGAATTGTGAAACAGAAGGTCACCAATAAGACTGCTGATTCTGAGAATTCTATCAGCAAAAAGAATGAACCAGCAGATGAGGTTGTTGAGGGAAACTCTGGAAGATCTGAGATCTCACTTGAGCAGAGTGAATCTCCTGCTGATACTTCTGGCGTTAAAACTTTTGTAAGAAAAAAAGTCATAAGAAAGGTACCGGTGGGAAAATCTACTCAAAATAAAGAAAATGACTCGCAGTCTGAGATGAAAGCTGGGAAGGACTGCACTGAAGATAAACCAAAGAATACTTCAGATACCAGCACTCCTATAGTTACACAAGGTACTGGTATCAAAACAACCATAAAAAAGAAAATAATTAAGAAAGTACTTAAAAGAAAGCTCACTGGTGCAGGAGCCAGTGGCGGGACTGGTGACCTTAAGAAAGATGACATAAAGGATGAGGAAAAGGTTGTTCAGGCAGGTAAAGAAACAGAAAACACTGGGGAAAAAACAGCAGAAACAGGAAACCAGGAGCGTGAGGCAAAAGATTCAGAGAAGAAAGTAATTCATAGCACCAAGTCAAAATCCCCAATAGTGGAGAAGCAAGCTAGTGTGCCAATTTTGAACAAAATCAAGGCTGTCAAGGAGGATGAAAAGGAAATTGACCAGAAAAGCAGCTCAGGGACTAAAACTGAAGTTAAGGCTGACAGGCTAAAGGTTGCCCTGAAGGATAGTGCTAATAGCAAGGGAGGAAAGTTGAAGGATGATGAAAAATCGAAGGAAGAGAAAAAGGACAAAGATGGAAAAGAAGTCAAGGAAAAGAGAAAGCCTGAAGAACCCCCTAGACACCCTGGGTTTATTTTGAAAACAAAAGGCAACAAGGAATCTAAAGTAGGTTTTGCTTATTGCCTCACTCATGGTTGTGTTACTAACTCCTACATTGAAAATATTCTGCCAAAAGCAACTCATTAACTGTCATTGTGTTGTCAAAAAAATAAAATTTGAGTGGCAATTTGGAACACCTTGCCTACACTTGTATTATTTCCTAATGTTGCATTTTTTGCTACAGCTGCGTTTTTTATCACTTTCACTGGACTCACTTTTGGATTACACTGATAAGGATGTTGAAGAATCAACATTTGAGGTTTGCCTTTATAATACTGTGTTATATTTTTCCTTTGTGTATGCCTAAACTCAATGAAGCTCTTTGTAGTGTTTAGAGAAATGTAACTGCTTTCCTCATCCTGTTTTTGTTCTCCTACTTTTTCAGCTTTCACTATTTGCTGAATCTCTATACGAAATGCTTCAGTATCAAATGGGCTCTCGTCTTTTGACATTTCTCCAGGTTGGTTCATAATGTGTAATCAATCAACATGAACATTACTTGATTCATTTATTAAGGCATCTTTCTATGTTATATTACATGCAGAAGCTACGAATAAAATTCGTAACCAAAAGAAATCAATACAAGAGGCAGCGGGAGGAAATAGATGAGAAGGAGAAGGAGAAGGAGAATGACAAGGACAAGGACATGGATGTGGACAAGGAATCATCAAGAAAGCGCCTGAAGACTAGCGAGTTACCTGTGAAAGCTAAATCTGCAAGCAGTGAAATGTCTAGTGCAGATCAGCCAAATGATGAAAAGACTGTCATGGAGGAGGATACTTCTGTAGATCCTGTTAATGAGACAAAGCAGGAAGAAGAAAGTGAATCTGAGGAAGACCCAGAAGAAGACCCTGAAGAATGTGAAGAAATGGAGGGTCCTGAAGAATATGAAGAAACGGATGATGTTGGACATGATTCATCTAATGAGGCAAGATTCTTTCCTTACAATTTTTATTATAGATATTATAATCTCAGTCAAGTTCTCTCGTGCAAAATAGTCAGATATCGAGTTGGGGAAGTCTAAGCTGGATTGCATGTCCAGTTCGAGTTGGGGAAGTCTAACCTGGATTGCATGTCCAGTTCAAGTTTGATGATTTATGATAGTATTGGTTTCCTGTAATTCGATGAGATTCAATTATATACTGTACAGCATCTTGTTTTAGTTGTTTTATTGGGTAAAATGGTAAACAGCATAAAGATGAGGGGAAGACCAGTGGGGATGCTGAGCATGATGAACCTCTGGCTGGCGACGAAAAAAACAAGGCTGAGGAAGTGGCTGAAGATAAAACTGACATCGAAGATGTAGAGTCAAAACACAAGTCTGGTTCAGATTTGTCTGATAAAAAAGTTGACAAGGTGAAGACAGAGCTGTCTGGGAAGGAGGCCGTGATTGATAAGGAATTATTGGAGGTATGTTCTCAGAAACTTGATTCCCTTCTCTTTTTCTGCAATTTAAGAATATCAATATTGTTCTTTCATCTACCTGCTATTAATATTTCTTGTATGGGACAGGCTTTCAGGTTTTTTGACCGGAATCGAACTGGCTACATCAGGGTAAGACTAAAATTCCTTATTTTGCTCATTGTTGTTGTTTTTGGGCATGTTGAGGATTAAGTGTTGCCTGTTCAGGTTGAAGACATGAGGTTGATTATCCACAACTTGGGGAAATTTCTTTCCCACAGAGATGTCAAGGTGAGAATTGTGCTTCTGTATCTTCTTAGCACCCCGCCTCCCCCCATCAAGAGCTGCACAGATGTTCTTTTTGTAGTTTGTAATGGTTTGTTTTGGCATCAGGAACTTGTGCAAAGTGCTTTGTTGGAGAGCAACACTGGGAGGGATGACCGCATTCTCTACAATAAGCTGGTGAGAATGACTGGCGTTTGATATTTTAGGTTTTCAGGTTGTTCCGGGAGTACTCCAGTCACTTCGCTGTCACAATTCACCTTTTCATTGCTCCATAAGAGGATGCGACACTGTATTAGTCATGAATTTATGTTGTTTTACGTCACCATTTCTTACTGTCAACAGGTATAAATCTCGACTTTTATAATCGGGGAAAATAGGTTATATATTATTTCTTGTTAGTGGAAAAAAAAATGTCAGGTATTGATAATTAAGCATTTTCATACACCTGATTTGGGATCATGCTCAAATCCCTTGTTCCAAGTGTGGCAAGTTGACTAGATCCTCATGTAAGGACTAAAAGGAAAAAAGAAAAATTTCTGCTGCAAGCCTCAAATTGCTTCTATGGGTCCGTGCGGCCATAACTAGAAGTTTCGCCAGATGGTTTTGGTGCTCAGCAGCTCAAGTGCTTGCTATCAGATTGCGGTAAAAACTATAGTTTTGCAATCTGCCCATGCTTCTCCCAAGGAACAATAAATTTAATATGGATGTTATCATGTCGATCGGCACTTGATTAGAGGACTCAGGAAGTGCTGCTATTTTCGAGTTTTTACCCGATATTGCAAGGGTTTTTTCTTATAAATGGTGCAAACAAAATTTCAGACACATCCCACAAAAACATTAGCTATAACATATTGATCAAAACAAGCTTGCAATGCTAAAAAAAAAAATTCCTTTCATTGCTACCGGCTCATTAACTTTGGTTCATGGTGTCAAGAGTCAAGGAGGGACCTCAAGGCTTGTTTCTTGACCACCTTTCCAAGCACTCCTTCCCAACTTTAGTGCCTTCTCCATAGCCACCGAACGCCATTATCTTTAAACGCTTGCATAAAAGTCTTCAGCCATTATCTTTAAACGCTTGCGTGAAAGTCTTCAGTACTCTCTCATCAGATCTCACAGCTTTTCCAATACCATTACAAAAAAACGAAAAAAAAAAAAAAACCAAGAGGAATTAAGCACCAAGACACGGTTTTCTGTGGATTAGAGCAGTAAAAATACTGTTTTGTCCTTGCTTAAAAAACTCAAATAACATGGTCTTAGGGGTATGAAGATATTTCAATTGAATTTATGTCATTGTCATTAGAACAACAGTAGCAGGAAAAATGATTGTTACTTTTAGTTCATGCTTTATTACTGGAAGGAAAACCTGACTCGGATAACGAAAGAGAATATCTTTTTTCTCAGTATCAATTGATGGTTTCTTCGGTTCTCATTTCTAATCTTCCTCTCCATTTTCCTGGTATGCGTGCCTCGGAATCAGTTTGCTTCTTGTTATTAGCTATTTATGCTCAACTAAAATTGTTTTGATGGTATGGTTAACTCGTAGCGTTGTTTCCGTGATTTATAATGTTCTTAGAAATACCACACTGGTATTTTAAGGGAAGGCTGGAGGAGCTGAGTACAATAATGGATGGAATGTTTAATGGCAATGACGATGATTCTCTAGATAAAGATGACATGGATTTAGATGGGAAGGGGAAAATGTTACATGGGAATAGTGCGATGGATATTGATGAATGCTATCTTCGAGGGAAATTTGCAGAGAATAACAAATTGGTGAAGAGTATTGGAATGGTTGCACGTTACCTTGGAAGTCTTGGATTTACATCTACGACTGAAAGTACATATGCTTCTGCCATTCTTTTGCTTCTGAAGGTGAGCAAGCATTTGATTTTCTATGCAATCAATGCTTGGCCAAAAAGTCATTGAATTCCACTGTGATTCTTTTTTCCTTTACCATATTATATCTGACAATTTTTAGAATTTTTAATCTTGCGTGTGCACACACAAAGAAGAGCAACTTAATTTAAGTTAGTTTGCATCCTTTATCTTCTGAATTCCGTGTCACCTTTATTTGTATCAGCATATTTCCTATTTGGATGGCAGGCTAAAGAGTGGATCATGGTCATTTCCAGTGTTTATGAGCATTTCCATTTCTTCTTCCCCATAAAATTTCTGCATCAAGGATGTTCAGCTCTTGATTTGTTTATCGTCTGGTAATTTCATCCATGAGGTACATTAAATTGGGAACTGCAATTGTCACGTTAATTGAGTGGCTGTAATATAACTGCTCTCTGAAACCGCATTATAGTCAATTTTGGGCAATGCAGAGGGACTGTCATGGACTAGATGCACAAACATTTATTGCACTATAAAGATAAGCTAATTTAAAATGTTTTGCGCTGCAAAGAGAAGCTATAGCAAATCCTACTCTGTTTGATGTCATTTAAGGTGCCCTGTGTCCAATCACCTGGAATCTGCAAACATAAATAATGCTCTGCCATTTCATGCATTGCTTACATCGTTTTTTGTTATTATGTTACACTTTCTATTTTTATCTGCCTGTATATCTTCCTTCAGCAATAATTACAGGCTGTCTTGCATGCACTACTTGCCTATCATGGTGATACTGCTAGCTATAATATCCTTTCACCACGTCTCCGATCACCTCTAGCGACTTACCCTTCTGCATGTTATCCTGGAATTAATGCTCCCTCTGAAGGACTTGTTAGATGGCAGTTGCGGCTAGAGTATTTTGCTTGTGATACATTGCGCAAGATTTGAGGATTTCTAAACTATTTGAGATTATTGTTGACTATCCTGATAGGTAGGTTTTTTGCATTCTTAACCTCACTTCTCCCTACCGATTCCTAAAAATAAGGCAGCGAAGACAACTGCTATTATTTATGTTTTTTCTTCATAGTTTTGCCTTAACATAAATAATGATTACGAGATTCTGATGTAACAAACAGAATATGACGGCTGTCTGTCTGCGTTCTCACCTAAAGAATCCAGAATGTCGTGGTTGTGGCTGCTCTCATGTTTCTGATTGTGCATTAAAACTAGCATGTTTCACTGGGCATGTATTGCCTTCAGAAAACTATGGTACAGTGACTGGAAAGAGTTAGAAAAACACTTGGCCATGGTGCCTTGTGCAAGAAAGAGTTTTCGAAATTTCACAAAGTTAAAGTTTTAATTTATAAACAAATAGATTTAGTAAAAGGAGGCCATTGTTGATTCTCCCTCCCTCACCCTCACCTTGTTGTGCACATAGATCAATGACCAATTTATTAGTGTAGCAGGATGATAAGTCTTGGGTTTCATTTGCATGGGGAGCATGCATGGGTGAAGTTTGATTTTGATTTTGAATGATTTTATGTATTTTTGTCTAGAAAACAAGTACTGGCACCATATCAATGCACTTTTAGTTGCCTTACTTTCCTCTTTGCATCTAAAATTTGAATCCTGCTCCTCTTCTGATGCTACAAGAACTAGAGCAAGTAAGGTTTTATCCAAACCTCCCTGTGAGCAGCATGATAGGTTTAGTGCATAAATGGACATCGCTAATGTTAATGTAAGATGCTATTGGTAAACCTCTGATCTTCATTAATTACTTAATTACAGATTATAATAAATGTTCATTGCTAATGTTAATGTAAGATACTATTAGGAAATTTCTCATTATGCAATTTTTGAAAGTTTTTCATCGATTGATTAATATGCTATTATGATAAGATTTTTTTATTTTTTTAATTAATGTTGATATTCAGGTCAAATTATATATATCTTAATTAATTTTATAAATTCTAAAATTAATAATTATATAAATTTTTATTGAAACTAAATAAATCAAACTCATAACTATTGAATAAAAAAAAAACTTAAAATCTAATAAAGCTATCCTAAAGTTAACTGTTCTTTGCATTTTCATTAACCTGGTTATCGTGGCTTCCCCATCTACAAGTGATGTGTTGTCTTGTAGATAGTTGTGCGTTGCCTTGCGTGTCTTCATTTGAATGAAATAGGCGTCTAGCTGTGCGCGCCTCGTCCTCGTTATTGGCCCCAGCACCATTCCCCTATGGTTTCTGGTCCTGACCAGGATATTAAACAAAAAACATCAGGTCCAATTTCTGTGTACTCAAAATTTAAAATATCTGGTAACAAAAAAAATAAAATGTAAAGTAAACAACTTAAAAAATAGAGAGAGTGAGAGAGTAATTTATAAATCATTCCTTTTAGTATTGTAAAAATAAATTAAACACTTCCTTTAGTTTTAAGAGTTTTTAAGAAATGTTTTCTTTTTTCATCTATCTTTTCATATTATTTATTTATCTTATTTTTAAAACAAAAAGCAAAATAAATTGGAAAAATACATGAAATAGATAAAGGAATTAATTAAATAGTTTTTAATATTAAAAATATTATTTAATTTGTTTTGCAAAATTAGGGGAAGCATCCCCCCCCCCCCCCCCCAAAAAAAAAAAAAAAGTCCTAGGTGACGGGTTTCGCTACATCTGCCCAAACATTGGACACCTTCTCCTTCTCGGCAAAATCCAGCCATTGTTGTGCTCTCCGTCTCCCATGAACGAAAGCCATGGCCACCAGCAACCAAAAACCCACACAAAAATCCTCCTCACCTCACTGTCAGCCATTGTGGCTGAGACAGTCACTTTCCCGATAGACTTGACAAAGACCCGGCTCCAGCTCCATTCCTCCACTACAAAACCCACCAACGCCTTCGTGGTGGCCTCCGAGATCATTCGCCAACAGGGTCCTCTCGGGTTCTACCAGGGCCTTTCTCCTGCCATTTTAAGACACCTATTCTACACTCCAATTCGAATTGTGGGCTATGAAAATTTGAGATATCTTGTGGTGGTTAACAATGAAGTTGCTGGCGGTGGTGGTGATCTTGTTTCTCTCTCCACCAAAGCTCTCCTTGGTGGACTTTCTGGGGTAATTGCTCAGGTAAGGACGAAAACCTCACTTCTCTGTCAAGTTTCATTTCTTTCCTTTCCTTTCCCTTTGTTTTTTTTAAAGGAGTTCCCTTAAAAGTTTAGATTTTTCAGTAATTGAGATATAAATGTGAGTGTAGTAATTCATAAAGAAGAAGATTAAAAGATGGGGTGTACTTGAATATGCTGAATTGATTAGAGGGGTGTATATAATTTCAGACCATGAAAGAAAGTGATCAAAAGTATAAACCAAAAGCTACAATTTTCAATTAGTTTTGAGCATTAGAATTTTGCAATTAATTAGCAGATCAAACAAAAACTGAGAGCTTATGAAGCTAGCAAATGTTATAGTTAATGGATATCCTTGACAATCAGTTATTTATTTATTATAGCTAGTTGTACCAATAAGTTTGATTTTTTTACATTTGTTTGGTATTCACAACGGTACTTGTGCTGCTCCAATGATTTCTAGTATTACAGTCCAAACAGAAGAATCTCCATCCTTACTGTCGAGATTAAGACAATCTCCCTCTTATGTTTGGAAAAATTGGTTTCGCTGTTCCACGGGTTCCTTGGTTGGTTATCAGTTGACAAAATTAGTTGAGGAAAGGCAACCATATTACCTTTCAGTTTGTCTCTGTAAAAATATAATTGTTTGTGTACAGTTTAACCCTTCTCAAAGATTCAACATTTCCCAGCATTGACTCAGAATTTTAAATCATTAGCATTGTGGAGAGATGCATATAGACTAGGATTATCTCAATTAATCTAGCATCCAGCTGTTTAATTCCGTAAGTTATACTAATTTAATGTGTAAACTTCTGCATACTGGTGGACAGTTTCCCGTCAGTTTTTTATTTATTTTACCATTAGTTTTACAGGTGGTGGCTAGCCCTGCTGATCTGGTTAAGGTGCGGATGCAAGCAGATGGTCGTATTGTGAACCAAGGTCTCCAACCTAGGTACTCGGGGCCTCTTGATGCTTTCAGCAAGATTATAAAGGCAGAAGGCTTTGGCGGACTGTGGAAAGGAGTTTTCCCGAACATCCAAAGAGCCTTTCTGGTGAACATGGGAGAACTAGCATGTTATGACCATGCAAAAAGATTTATCATCCAGAATCATATATCTGCTGATAATATCTATGCCCACACATTAGCATCCATCATGTCAGGACTTTCTGCAACTGCTTTGAGTTGCCCAGCTGATGTTGTGAAGACAAGAATGATGAATCAGGCAGCAAGCAAGGATGGCAAGGCTGTATACCAGAGCTCTTACGATTGTCTGGTGAAGACAGTAAGAATGGAGGGATTGAAAGCACTATGGAAGGGATTCTTTCCAACCTGGTCTAGACTTGGTCCATGGCAATTTGTTTTCTGGGTTACTTACGAGAAATTTCGACATGCTGCAGGGCTTTCTTCCTTCTGATATTGATTTATGAGGAGGACTCTGCAAGCCCATTTTGACCAACACTTGCAAGAAGTTTCAACAAGCTCCAGGCTGTCTTCCTATAATTCTTCTCATTGCTTTCACTCTGCAAGCCACTTCGGCCAATTATACTCCTTTAGTCTTTTTTTCGAGGACGAGCCAATTTCCCCCCTTGGATGCAATTATTAATTTGAACTGGGCTCCAATCACATTCAAACGTCCATGGCTACTAGCCACTTTTTTTTTTAAAAAAAAAATTTATATTGTCTGCTTCATGAAGTAACTTATTCATAGAGGGAGAGAGTGACAGATTTTGCTAATGATTTTTATTTTTTCTGGACTTGACGGGGAAATGACTGTTGTAAGCTAAACAAACGCATGACTAGGGCTTCCTGCACTGGGCCTCTCACAGTGGCTTGCGAAGGAATTTGTGTTTTTAAGTGTTTGTTACTGTGTTAGTTGTCAGGATTGTGTTTTTTTTTTAATAAGTGAAAAAAAATAATTTTAGTTGTGATTTAAAAAAAATAGATATTAAAAAATAGGTTCTTGGTTAAAATTACTTTGAGATTGATTTTTATATGCAAAATAAAACAAATGAAAACAGGTTTTTATAAATAAAAAGTAGGTTATTTTAGCTTCGGTTTGAAACGCAGCTATATGCGGGTTCAATGTAAATAATAAAAGCTATTTGGTTAGCTAAATAGTTTTAACCATGTAATTAGTCTAAAAATAGAAGTCATCTTGAGTTCATGGGTTGTTTCTCGCCCAGGAAGTTTCACATTTCCTCGTAATGTTCAAGCTTGTGAAAACCAAAAGTAAAAAGACAAGCAATCTGCCCCAATTCGGAGAAATGGGAAGAAATTTCACATGGCAATGGATTGTATTTCGGGAACATAGTTAAGATGTCTTTTACAGTATTTCTTTACTGTATTAAAAATTATGGAAACAAGTATTTTCAACTAGAATTAAAAATAACACAATCCACCACCTATTTTCAACCCTACTAGTGTGGGAAAAATAAAAAATAAAAACACTCTCCACGGCTAGCTGTGACATATTTTCCATGAATAATTGGTGCTTTAATATATATATCTTCCTATCTTTAATTAAATATAACGACCCCTCCTTTTCATCATTAATTACATCCTCTTCATGTGTGGTTGAAAACATTCATGGATCCCAGTACGAGGACGAAAATATTAAGGACGGTTTACGGCCGGCTTTTATCACTGCGGTTGATCGTGCAGGGTCGTACGAGAAAAATGCAAATGTTGTTGTAAATTTCATGCAATTACGAAACGTTTGGTAATGTTTGGTAATACTACTACAGTGATTGTATTTATTTTTTTAAATATTTTTTATTTTTAAAAATTTATTTTTAATATTAATCTATTAAAACAATATAAATAATTAATTTTTAAAAAAATATTTTTGCACCACAAAAAAAAAAACAACATTTTTGTTTCACAACGTTGCGTGACCCTTAAAATTGCAACTTGCAAAGGACTAAGACCACAACCATCCAACTCATTGGGCTGTTTATTTTATTATTTTTACTTTACTAGGCTTTTTAGATTTTTTTAATTCTTAATTGTGGGTTTTTTTTTAAAAAAAACTAATATCATTTTTTTAATTTTTAAAAATTAATTTTTATTTTGATGGTCTACAAAAACTTTGTATCCAAAAAGTGAAAAGAGATTGTATGGGAGAAAATGTAAATATCAAGGGCAAAGTGAAATTTTTTTTAGACGTGTAAAATGAGAAATTTGTTTTAGTAATTTTTTAAGAAATCAGTGTTGATAAAAATTTCTTAATTTCATTTCCTAAAAATATAATCTATTCCTTTTCATTTATATAGATAAACGTCGGAGCTTTGGATATAGAAAGTAGAAACTTCTTTAGCCTTTCAAACTTTGTTTTTTTTTTTCTCTGTCAAAGTAAATTGAAAAATTATGTCTTTCTAACTTATATATAGTTAATAATTATGATTTTCTAATTTTCAGCTAGGTTTTGATCTTTTTGAAGAGGATTTTTAATTTTCATTCTTATTTACTTACTGACATCGTCCCTAAATATTATCTTAGATGTTAATTTTATATTATAACTTAATGGATTTATCAACACTTGATTAATATACATTTACTTAGATATATACTTTATTATACAAAATTAGAAGATTAAATACTTATTTAAATGAAAGTAAAGATTAAACACTTGATTGTAAAAATCATTATTCCTTGCTAAAACAAACTTATTTTTTAGGAGTAGAAAAATATGGCACCCCATATTTGGTTAGGAGGTGGAATACCTTATTTTTTAGGAGTAGTGGCACCCCATATTTGGTTAGGAGGTGGAAATTAAGCTATCCGCTATACGAGGCAATCTAGGACTTGCCTGATCTGGCTTTTGGTCTCGAGTTTTGAAAGAACATCAACTTAAAATCGACTCAGTCAGGATAGAAAAAGGGAAAGACAAGGCTTGTCTCCAGAAAATAAAACGACATGATGTTAGATTGACTTACCCATCCCACATAAATTAACATGTCCAACCAGTAACTTTGGCTTCGGACGGAGTCATAGACCCGCACAGTTTGAATTACTCGGCTCAGCACAAAAGTCGTTGGCGGTGATTGCCGTTAGTGATTCCTTGAGCTTCAGTAGCTATAATTAGCATGCTATATCTAGGAGCTTAGACTACTCTAGATAGAAAGGAAATAGCAGCTAGCAGCGCTGCATGCATCGAACTGTCGACACCATGTTAAATATGAAAATTAACTAACCGCACCCATACCCGTCGGATGAAGGAAATGATTTTCTCCAGGCGACATTCATTTGGATCGTTACGGTTGATAGATATACATTCTTTTATTTATTTATTTTAGTAACATGAGTGTTTTAGATTAATTTATATATATCTTGATTAATTTTATAAATTTTAAAATTAATGAATATATAAATTTTCAGTAATTTTAAGATTTGTGAAAATTGAATTAATAATTTTTAAAAAATAAATTTATATTCTTATCAATTAAATTCAACCTCTAGAATTCTAGATATGCAAGAAAGTAGAGAGAGAGTGTGTGTAATAATAATATTTTATAGCTAATTAAATATCAACAGCCTCCGTTGAGTTTCTAGATAATTGAAATCCAGACTTCGCATGGCTTCAAATTTTCATACGTGGAACACCACCAGTCCTGCACTCTTAAAATTTCAATACATGTCAACATTTTAAAAGGACGTAATTAATTAAATTTGATTTAAGAATTTGAGTGTTGATATTAATATAGATAGCTTACCTGCTTATGATAGTGAAGGGGAGAAAACTGCTCTCTTTCATCCTCTCCTCTGAAACCTGATTAAGGACCTTTCAATTTATAAGCATAACTTAACGGTGAACACTTTCAACATCATATTATAGCACTTTTCAAGATGTTTTTTGTTTTTAAATAAATATATTAAAATAATATCTTATTTTTTAAAATTTATTTTTTACTCTGATGCATCAAAATAATCTTAAAAAAAATAAATTTTAAAAAAAAATGATGAGACGATGGCCAAAATGTCCTTTAAGCAGATTGATGCGCTATAAACTCTGATTGAATGAATGGACGGTGAGATTGTCGAGGAGTTTCAATCTCTAGTTGGTTTGGGATAAGGATTGTCAGCCCAATTGGCGTGTTGGTGTTTTGGGATAAGGATTGTCAGCCCAATTGGTAGGTATTTGGATAGAATACCTTTTTCTAATGGTCTAGGATTACAGGCCCTGAATCATAACTCTTATTTGGGCTCTGGTCCAACCTTCCTTTGGGCCTCCATAGTCATATTCTACTCGTAAGTGAAGAAAACCAAGACTTCCAGGATATATTGTTTTTCCCACGGCAATCACAACTGGTTCGAAATCTTGAGTCAAAATCATTAAAATTTTAAAAAATAAAAATAAAATCAAGGAATTTAAATTGCGATTATATTAGGTCGAGTACTCGGCCCATAATTTAAATTTTCCCACTCTTTAGTGATTCACTAAACATTGGATGAGACTCGTTTCTAAGTAACACGTCAAATATGGGAAGCTCAAATTACATTTCGATTGCTTGAAATTTCACAGATCTAGTGTCCTATATCTGAGTTAAACATACTTTATCCTACTAAAATTTCTTCATTTTTTATATAGAAACTAAAATCTCTATTTTTAATATTAAACAAAACCACAGAAACGCATCTTGAATTAAAGCTCGTAGTCTGTTTTTTTTGTTTTGTTTTTTTAAGTTTCAAGCCTGAACATTTTGAATTAAATTTGAATCAAATGTCTCTTATCATTTTCAGGATAGATACATTAGAGAAATTAAGATATCCATCAAAAAAATTTATAAAACACAATTTATTAATTATGAAGCGGGAGATTGTAAGAATTTATGTGCATGTACGAGTAACTATTGGTCGATTTTGATTGCGGCTAAGCAGAATAGGGAACTTCCACTGCAAGTTCTAAGAAGTTCTAAGCGTAAATTATAATTTAATTACTCTTGTATTAAATAAGGACTCCCTTATTTAATCTTTCTAATTTTGAAAATCATAAGTGGTCTCTTAATCAAAGTTTACTATTGATTTGATTAGAAATTAATAAATAAGATTTTAGGGGGGAAACCAACAAAAATACAAATGAAAAGATCAACAGTTAAAAGTAAATATGAAAATAGAAGGATTCAATATTGGATTTTTAAATCAAATGAATAATTGATAATTTTACTAAAAATAGAGGGATTTTTTTTGAGTTAATATGTAATATATATATTTTTATAATATTTTTAAATTTAAATAAAATAAAAGATATATTTTGTAATTTAATCATCACAAAAACAACGTATTGTTATAAATTATGATTTTTTTATAATTAAAAAAAGAAAATCAAAAAGAAAAATATAAAATGATTTATGAGTAGTAACATAGGCTCTGAATATCCATATAGATATTTGATCAATTTAATTTACACGTAGTTAATTTTATAAATTTTAAAATTAATAAAAATATAAAGTACTAATAATACTAAAAAAACACAAACTCATTATTATCAAGACCTGGGGATATGTGTCGTAATGGTGATTGCAAGAAAAAACAAAGAACATTTTCACTGTAGTTTTGCCT